CCACACCTTGAAGTGCCTAATATCATTGCATCCCACTGCTTAGAAGGGACGCAAATCTGGAAAGATTCCAAAGATGGGCTACAATGAGAGTGGTGCGTCTCATATAAAGCATGTTTTCTTTGTGACAAACGTTTCATGACTATGTATCCACCGTGATACGAAAACGTTCCGAAGATACTACTTCTCGACTAAGAAAACGCCTGAAACCATCTGAAACTGTCTCATCGTTTTCACAGAATCCTGAAGAATACGTCTTTATTTCTTCGAATTTTCCTCTCGCTTCTATTCAAATCCAAGTCGCATCACTTGGTCGGAAATTTCGCTATCTATGTATTTATCGAGTAAAATCAACGAATTACAAACCGAAGTGTAGTTCGAGAATTTAATGTCACAGACATTCGATTTATCGCCCACCTGTGAAAAAGATCTTGTTGATCATTTCTGAGCTTCAATTCTCGACAGCTGATATAAGTACATTCGTACACGACCGAGGAGCCACTGTCATCTGCTGACCAAGGAACACACACAAAAGACAACTTCACGAAAATAAAGACATAATCCTCGTCCATCCTGATAAGGGCATCACAATGGGATTGTGGTAATGAATAGATCCGACTATAGTGAGAAATTAACAAACATACTATCAGACAACACTGGATTCCTCAAACCAACTAACCAGAAAGACGACACAACGTGAAAGAACAGAAAACCTCCTTACAAAATTACTGAAGAAAATGAAAAAAACATTCAGTCATAACATCGTGGAGTTCAACTATTCCGAGGCTATATGGATTGGCTAAAGTGCATAAGAAGAATTTTCTACTTTGACCTATCATAGACATGGTCAACTCACCATTACATCGGATGGCGAAGTCGATAGCAGATATCCTTGAACCGGTAAGAAGACATATGACGAAGTATATGGCCTAAGTGATACATTTGATTTAATCAACGCGTTTGAAAGATAAATGCCTTAACTAGATGTCACATCTCTTTACACAAGCTTCCCATTGACCGAGACACTGTGCTTCATCTGTAACTACATCGAAACCCAACAACAACCCAGAAGTTCCTCTTCCCATCAACCACCTGAATCAACTACTTCTCAGATGTACGTTTAATATTCAATTCAAATTGAATGGACAATTCTACGTACGAAAAGATGGTGTAGCGATGGGATGTCCTCTCGGTCCATTGCTAGCTGACTGACTGATTCCTGGTGAGTCTCGAAAACAACATCCTCGACCCTTTGATAAGTCAACTGCACTTACGCAGGAGATACGTAGATGATATGTTCATAATTTGTGATGAAAAAGTATGTCCTGAAAACCCTCAACACAGTACACCCATGAATAACATTCAACTTTGAGCATGAATCGAAAATGGAATTTCCATCATTGGATGTACTCCTGCTGGCCAGGAAACAAGAGTGAACGATCCAAAAGATCAATACATCGCAAGCCAACATGGATGGGACAGTTCATCCAATTCCAGAGATCCATCTGCAAAAATCACAACTCTCTTCATGAACCTGGAATTCAACGGTGACATCGAAGCAGAAGATACTAGAAACCGCCTATTTGTATATCTCAGGAAGACATTTCAAGCAGCTATCATACGCATCACGTTCTCCAGGATACAATTGATCTATTTTAACATCAAGGACATGATAGCGCTTTTGGTCACCTCAATGTGCATTTATTAGCATACTTGTTCGTATGGAGCAAAGTACATCGGCCGTACGCAACGTCAATTCTACAAACGTGTACTAGAACACTGTCCATTTTGGTTAGTCAGCCAAAGGGAAAGAGAAGAATACTAGCAGCTCCATCCTCGAACACCTTGTCAACTCGGGACATCGAGCACCATCCATCGGGGTGAATGCTTCACAGAGTCCCTCAATATCGTACGAAAGGACTTCAAATACGCCATCTGTACATAGCTCAATCATTGGCTATTGAGGATCTGAAACAGGACCTCTGCATTCAAATGCACCACATACATCTCTACCATGTCCAGAGTAATGTTCTCACCATAATTTTGCTTTCTTTTTACTGTGTAAGTTTATTATTATTATTATTCTCATCACCCCTATTATTTTATTATCACTTTACTATTTTTGACCAAGACCACTACGTTTCCACACAGATTTTATAAAAACACTTTATCGTCGTCATTCCTCTAGTTCTTGTCCACTCTGCACAACCATGCTTATAAGCTACCTCACACTTGTTACGCCATGTGCCAACTTCTGTCCCCTTTCCTATTTTCCAGTTAGTCACTCCTTCTAGACAGGCTACACCTTAGAATACGGAATATATTTTTCGAGGACAAATTGTACCATTATATCACTGGTCTTATGAATTCTATATTAAATTTAATTAAGATAGCACATAGACCTATGGAGACGAATCGTCGAAACGACAATTCTCACTGCTGTACACGTGTGATATATATATATATATATATATATATATATATATATATATAGAGAGAGAGAGAGAGAGAGAGAGAGAGAGAGAGATTCAGGACAAAATAAAGCGAATAATTATTTTCAATAAATTCTTCTTCAGGCTCTACAACTGTAAATCCTTTAATTTAAGCATACAATAGCCAGCCAGTAAGTAAAGGCAAATTAGAATCATATCAGAAAGTGCATTCTTAGCCCACTTGGTGGAGATACTGGACACTCGATAGATATTGACCAGGTGTTCTCAGTTATTTACCGCGTTCCTAGTAATTTATCTAGAGGAGCTCGACTACGTCTTCTATCAGTAGCTGAAGCGGTTGTAATTAATACCAGAAGACCATCCCTCTGCATACAGAAGAAGCATGTTCAACCTCTATGTTTACTTTGGCCTACAATAAGACCAACGAATCCTTCATTAACACTACAAATTCTTATCACAATTTTCTTTTCTCTGGTTCATTGACAAGCGTTCATTTTCGACTTTAATGATTTCATGACCTTTCTTATGATTTTATTACCTTAGGTTTGAGTAATGCTTTCCTAACTTGTTATTGTATTTACAAAATCCTGTTCAATCCACTTCATTATATTCATTATTATTATGATTTGACAATAGTGCTTGTAATTTTACACCATATCATCGTTATTATTATTTTGCAATCATTCTGATTGTCGTTATTTTCAACCTTGAACTTATGTCTAGTCCGCCCCATTCGTTGGTTTATTTTCATATTGTCTCACACACAGCCTGATTACACTCACTCTTGAAACCTGTATTTTTCTGTTGACTCCGTTTATATATGTATACACCATTAAATGAAATTACTTCACCTCATTTTGTCCCATGTTCTCATTGACCATGCATGTTAAAAATCTATCTGTCTATTGTTCCATCCCATCTTACTTATACTTGTTCCACAATACACTTTCTGATATGATTCTAATTTGCCTTTGCTGACTGACTAACTGGCTGGCTATTGTATGCTTAAATTATTGGATTTAAAATTGTAGAGCCTGAATAAGGAGAATTCATTGAAAGCGACAATTGTTCGCTGTAACTATTTTGTCCTGAATAAATTATGGGATTATTCAATTTATGTATATATAGATGATTGTAATTGTATCAGTTCCGCCACAATGACACCAGCTTTTATTGTTAATACGCAGTACTTTGATTGAATATTATCCACTTAGTGATAACGTTAACAGATGATCACTACTCACCGCTTCTAATAGATGGTATATATTTGTTCAAAGTGATACTTACTGGTCATCACAATATTCATATGTTTGTATGCATTCAACCATGAGGAGGAATTGTAGAAATGACAATGTTTGGAGAGTATTCCAGTTGACGAGTTCTTTCGGAAATGAATGAATTAATTCGCAGTTACAGGATTTCATCGTGAGCTGACATTGGTTAGAGAACCATCGGAAAACCTGTTTCGTCCTAGTTTGGGACTCTTCATCGGTATGTGCCCACCGGGGTTCGAACCCAGGACCTTCTGGTTACAAGGCAAGCTAACTCGTAGACCATTAAGCCACTGGGACCCGATCCAATAGCCAGCCCATGAATTCTAACTTCTGTCAATTCACGATATGTCGCAACGGCTAGCCAATGTCTTCGGCGAGTATTTGTTAGAAATCATGAGCCATTGGATTGGGGTCCCAGTGGCTTAATGGTTCTCTAACCAATATCAGCTCATAATGAAATCCTGTTACCAATCAACCAAATCCCTATAAACCAATACTTGAATAATTCGCAGTTGTTAGTTTATTCACTAGGGGAAATATGAGAGCACGGTTGACACACCTCCGTCGATGTATTTTCGGATTGTGAGGGCGATTGTTACTTCCCGGCTGCCCACACCGTGGAGGTTGGTTGCGTGACCGCAGAGCCCAGGGGACAACTGCTTGAGGCCGGTCACACGAGACCTGTTTTTGTTTGTTCTCTTTTGTTTGTTGTACCTCAGTAGCATACTTATCACTCCTGCCCTGTGACACGGCAGCAGGAAGCGCGGTCGTTGTTAATCCGGGCCACGGCCGATCCGGCATGAAATTTTGTGAATTTGTTCGAATCATGGTATTGGATGGGGTAGCTGCTTTTTGTTTAACCGCTATCCAAACAACCTGCCTGGCATGGTAGAACCTCAAGAGACATAAGTCTCAGCCAGTATAGCTTGAATAGATCATTGCGGTGTTCAAGCCCGATCACCACGTCAAGGTAGCAGCTTTCGGTCGGGCCGTCGATATAACTGAAAGTGTCGAAATATTACGTTGTGTACGTAACCTACCTCATTCATGTGTTTAAATGACATCACCCAGTAATCCCCCTAGTCACCATAAAAGAGACCGTCAAATAGCTTAAGTCTATATTTTACGTTAGTTTCGAGTAGAAGTTTGCACTGACCATGTGATGAAACGCCTCGTTTTTTTCCCTTGAATGTATGTGTACCGCTTTACTTAATAACTCACTCCCCGCCTATACTCCATCTGTATATCCTTTTTGCTTATTCTATCCTACTACTAGACAAGAACACAACAATGTGCTGCTGAATGTGCTAATCGAGCACGTGATAAACTAACCACAGATGCAAGTGAATCTCAAATGAAAGCTGCTCAACGTGAAGTAATCACCTGCTCTCAAGCCTGTGTAGATAATCAATTGTCAAGTGGACTACCAGCTCTTATTACTCGGCTGAAAGAACAACTGCAAAAGTTGAAGCAGGATGAAGTTGGAGTTGTTAGTTGATACATACATTGATATAAATATATTAGTGTGTAAATAGCATTACTCTTGATTGATTAGCTACCGTACAAATACATCCTTTTTTTAAACATACCAAAATGACTTATGGTTTACGTTGTGTATTGTCTAAGCAAGGAAGATATGCGGCAGTTTAGTATCCTGCTTCCGCTCGTTCTTTATTGCTGTGAGATTGGCCACTGAAAGGAGAAAATATGAGAAAGGGTAGCTGTCATTCACCATGGACCTCTGTGTTTTACGTGCCATGTTAAGCGGTATAACATGCTGATTAACACAGAGGTTAAGGGGAATTCTGTCGATGAGGTTGCAAAGTTACATCGTGGTGGTGATGGCTAGAAGAATACGTGTTGCACATACTGAGTCACCGCCTTTCCGTTCGACTAATGTCATCTAACTTAGGATTAGGTTGAGAATGAGGAAGGTAAGCAAGTCTTCCTGTGATAATCACAAGGGGATTAGCTTGACTAATATAGTATCTAAAGTCCTGGCTCAATAATCATGCGTAGACTAAGTGGTGCTCGGGAGGCACAAACACGAGAGAACCAGGCAGGCATTAGATCAGGGACAGGGTGTGTTGATCATACCTTCACCCTTCGACAGATTCTAGAACATAGGCATTCTTACCGACGTCCAACAATCATTATATTTCTTGACCTAAAGGCGATTCTGTCAACCGAGAGGTACTCTGGCGATGCTTGGCTGTAAAGGGAATGTCGAGAAAATACGTTGCACTGATCAAGGAACTCTACTCGAACTCATGCTGTCAACCAGGTGAGAGCTTACGGCGAGTTGTCACTTGCATCCGTGACGACTAGTGGTGTCCGTCAGGGATGTCCACTATCCCCGTTTCTATTCAATTTCATCATAGATGTACTCATGGACTTAACCCTGACTGCCTTCAGCGACTCAGGAATTTACTTGTTACCATCGGGGAAAACTCTCGTTGACTTAAAATATGCAGATGATATAGTCCTCCTAGGTGAAGATACTGATAAAATACAGCAGAATCTTCTGAACACCATGAGCTGCAATCTGCGAATGGCTGGCATGCGATTCGCTCCTGCTGTCGAATGTAAGACTGGAATACATTGACTCACTCCTCGCCTAAAAAGTAGAGAGCGAAGTGGTTTGTTGAGCGTGTTGACCGCTTCACTTGTTTGGGAAGTTGCATCAGCCAACGCCAGTGGGTTGATCGCTGATGAAATTTCGACACGGATACAGAGGGCTAGCTCCGCATATGCCAGCTTACGCCGTCTCTGGCTTAGTAGACGTGATATCCGCCTATCTACCGAAGGGCGTGTGTATTGCTCAGTAGTCCGCTCCATCCTCCTTTATGAATGAGACCTGGCTATTGAGATTGAAGGACATGAAAAGGCTAGCTGTCTTCCTTTGATCGTAGATGCCTGCGTTCTATCTCCCGTGTGAGATCGTATAATAGGATGAGTAATATTGAGGTTAGGCATAGGTTGAGCCGGCGCACACCTGATATCTATGGTCGGCCTGCGAAATTTGGGCTACCGATATCCATGCTGAAAATTCCATACTTGTACCAAAAATACGTTGTGGAATCAAGCTGTAAATCTAAAAAAAAAAGACGAGGCTGTGAAGTTACGTCAATTTAGATGGTTGGGACATGTGTTACATGCACATGCCTGACCATCGCCTTCCTCGACGGGCAATGTTGGGTGACTGACATAGGTTGGAAAAGAGCCAGTGGTGGTCAAACCAAAACATGGCCTCGTCGTCAGTCAATGAAATCCACAACAGTTAGTTTAAGCTAGCCACTTAAGAATGTGTAGATTTCCTAATTAGCTGTGGTCGTTGGGACGGTGAACACCAATGGCCGGAGACAATTGGTGATATGGCTCACAATCGTTCTAACTATCTGGCGCAGATGCATCCACTCCTTGTGACTTACAATAACCAATAAAGCTATGTTGTTCTACGGTATTACTATTCCTTTTGTCTCATATCTCTGTCTACTGTCTCTATTTTGCATTTCTTCTACTTTTTTCTCTTGGTTTGTGTGCTACAAGGAGGGAGTATGGCGACTTGAACTGGTGCACATCAGTGCAAAGCTCTATGTTGAAAACAGACATACAGAGGAAAGGGTGGAAAAACTAGATCCTGAAATCAACTCATGAAGTGTTTGTCAGTTGGTTTGAGCCGGACATCCACAGGGTTGTAGACTGCTTGCTTGGTTTAAATTCTCGAGACGTGGACAGCCAATGATTGCAGACGGTGACTAACATGAGCTTAAAATCATATTCAGTGACGCAGATGCATCCACTCTTTGAGATTTTCCAGATCCTCATATTTTTCTCCTGTAGATATCTGCACTGTGTAGTTCCTCTGGAATTTTGTTTTTCCTCTACATTCGTGTACTACATATAAGGTAGTACAACTTTAGATGCTGAACTTCTGCTTAAAGTTCTTTATTGAAGCTCACAGCAAGTCCAATCTTCAATTAATAGACATTGCATATGTCGAAATTACTGTAGGATTTTCAGATGTGTAATTTCCTGGTTCTATAATTTTTGTAAAGACAGACAAACTCGACTCAAAAGGATGTAAAACTATGCTATAGAAAGAGGTTACGCACATATTCGCCACACTATTAAACATCTTCTGAAACTACGTAAGAACGATCTTATTTTTTGCTTTAGTTCTTGTTCGATTTACATTAACAGATACAATGATCCATGATATTACATCGACTTCATACTACGATCAATTTAGAAGTAGTCGTCATTTGAGTTATCTGGAATACATGTTGTAGTATTTTTACTTGGTTACATTAAAGAAAGTGCTTTTCCACTACTACAACGCACAACACCTTAAGTAATTTTTGTTTGATAAAAATTTCATAACAATAATTGAACAAAGCAAGAACTACAGTTTTAGCAGAATAAAATGGTAACATCATTGTTTATTTCGTTGCCTTCTCGTCAGATGCTTGAAGGCCAAAGAAATTATTAAATATACATCTACAAAAACAATTTTAACATGCACTGTTCCGAACAACAATAATAATCATACACAATGAAACATATCTGCAATTTGTCATTCCGATGAAAGAAAGCTGAAAAATATCCAGTTACCAGGGTAAAAAAAGACAAGCGTTGCTCTTTGGCACGATTCTTATATAAATATTACAATTAGGAATTCAAATGCCATAATAAACAGGGGAACGGATAGAGCTCAGACAAAGTAGCATCATAATTACTGAGAAGATTGACATTGATTGTGCAATTACGGTTTAGAAATGTAGAAATAACAAAATAAATAGACGGGATGTTTGGATAGAAAATCTCATGGGATCATAACTAATGTGACTAATAATTGTTTATGCAATCAGGGATTAAATATGCAGATTTAATAAAATGATTAAATAGACAGGAAGTTCAGATATAAAAATATGGTAGTATAAATAGGAATTAAGAAAAACTTAAAAATTAGCATAAATAAACAGGAAGTTTAGATAATAAAAGCGATGGGATGGTCACTATTACCTGTTTATGATGGCCATGGCCATGGCAGGGACAGGGATTGGACGCATTTGTTTTGGATACAACGCGTGGGTTTTAGCTTTTGGATAGTTAGTGCCTCGGCTATGCCCAGATGTCTTAATTTTACTCTCCCTGATAGGTTTGATCGAATCTTTTTGTATTATTTCGTAGGATTTTTCGAATGGTGCTGCTAAATGTCCTGAATTGACCAGATGTTCTGACTATCCCATTGACTTTATTATCTAAACTTCCTGCTAATTCATGTTATTTTTAAGTTTTTCTCAATCCCTATTGACCTTACCATATTTTCATACCCATACATCCTGTCTATCTATTTTTGTTATTTCTACATTTCTAACTCCTAATTGCACAATCAATTTCAATCTTCTGAATAATTATGATGCTACTATGTTTGAGTTTTATTCGCCCCCCACCTGCTGTTTATTATGGTATTTTTATTCCTAATTGTAATTTTTATTAATTTGACCCTTGATCGGAAATTATTCTGGAACTTTTCCACCCATTTATTATAAATACGCAAATGTACAGCCTAGTTTTTCGTCGGGGTACTGTTAAACTTCACTCAGCCGATATTAAGCCCACTAAAGAGGTAAGTTTGGGTGTAAGACTAGCCCGCCCCCCACCACCACCAACACGCACCCCGTAAAAGTAAACACCACTGCTACTGAAACTTCGAAACTGAAGCTTGAAGCCCCCTGTGTTCCACTAGGTACACAAATGAATAAAATAATTATATGAAGAAATCATAGACAAACTCTCCATATAAAAGAAAAGACTTTTTTGATGTATTTGTGTTCTCTGAGCTAGCTAGCTAGCTGGATAGTTTATTTACGAAGCTTTCATTGCCCTACTAGGCAACATCTTCAGCGCATACACTTCAATTTGAATGGGAGTGAGACTTTAGATTTCTCCACGAGTTTATTGGTCATCTCTCCTGGTGACCTTCAACGTCGTGATTGGTTGTTTTAGTAGGTTTTCACACTCCCTAGGCTACTTGTATTGGAACTGATAGTTTCCTTGACTTGAACTTTGACCCTTTGTGTGTGTGTGTGTGTGAGATTTCTTGCTTATCGGTTGGTAAATTTTGTCTGTGTCATGACTCATTGCAGCACTTCTATCTTAAAGAAAATTGGCAAAAAAATATCTCATGGACGTCTTCCAAAAAGATGGACAGCCACGAAACTTTATGAAAAGATATCTACCTAAGCCAACTTACCTAATCAAACGTTCCCAAGGAAAGCACAAAGAAAATAGCCATACCAATACAAGTAGAAGCGTAGAGGGTGTGGAAACACACGAAAACAACTAAAGAGTCACGTTCAAAGTGGTCACCAGGAGAGATGACTAATAAACTCGTGGAGAAATCTAAAGTCTCACTTCCTTCAAATTGAAGTATGCGCTGAAGATGTTGCCTAGTAGGAGAGCAATAATGAAAGCTTCGCAAATACACCATCCAGCTAGCTCAGAGAACACAACTGCATTAAAATCATCCACCTGAGCTACAAATCTTCTCCATTATATCTAAGGAGAGATGTTCAGCGGAGAACTACT